TTCGATAGTACTAACGTCCCTTTTGCCGGGGGCGCTGCATTTTTAATGAATGCAGGTGGTTCTTCAGCAGGCGGCATTGCTTAGTGATAGCAGTACACTCTTTTCAGCTGATTTGGTGAGCCCCACTTCATTTCGGGGTCATGTATCTTTTGCTTCTCATGTACAGTATTTTGAGGTATAGCCGGGGCCTTGTTGCTGACATTTCCATATTACTCTTCTATTGTATTTAGAGGCTCCGTAGACACGTTGTGGGTTATAGTTGATGTTGGGAATTGAACTAGAAATGTTGGTACTTGGAAATTATGCTTTTCATTAATTATATAAACTCGTAATGTTTTGGAAATTATGAATGAAGCTACTAATAGGAATGAAAAGGAATTTGTTAATAAAATCTTTTCAGTGGTTGATTAATGGAGTACATCTCCTTTTTATTCATGGATGAGTTTGGGTAGAAGGAAGTCTAATAGGCTTGCTCGGCCGGATTCTCTCGGTTGAGCGCCGGTCGCGCTCCCTGAGTTTGGGGCGTGACAAGTACCCCTTAAGATTTTGGTTGATTGTGCTATTTGAGTTATGTGAAAGACGTGTACACGAGGTGACGAGTGTATACACAGACCTATATGTGGTATTTGACTGGTTTAGACTCTTAGGTTACTGTTAAGCACTTGATTGAAGTTCTAATTATTTATCCTATCTTTCATTGTCAAGCTACTCCTACATGCCTTATTTGAAGTTTTCACTACATGTTCTAGATTACATGTTAAAGTTACCCTTATATGCATTTATTTGTAGTGGTTGTTACATGCCATACTTTCCATTGTAGGGTTATTCTTTTGCATGTAGACTTAATTGCCATTTCATGCTATCTCTTTTATTATTAAGCTTATGTTATGCACTTGAATTGGAAGTTGCCATTCCATGGGAAATACCTTCATTGTGGGTTATTGAAGTTGTGATTGTGAAAGCTATTATCACACTGAAGTTAAAGTTGTTGACTATTGATATATTTTTCCTTTTTGAGTTATATCTCATTCATTTTGTTATTATTGAGATTCTTGTACACATTGTAGTTGAGTCGTGGGCCATGTGTTGTGGTAATATTATTATTGATGATTTGGTAATGTGGTGGCATATGGACACATGTGGTGCGAGTTGATTATTGTGTTGTGATATTAATACGCATGCAGTGGTATAAAGATGATTATTGAAACGTATGAAGTGAGATAAGGTGGGATGTATACGCGTGTTTCTAGTAAGGGAACTATTTGAATCCACGCGGTGAGATAAGGGAGCTAAAACGCATGTAGCTATTTCGGGAAAAATATTTTTAAAAATAAATGCAAGGCTCATACGGTGATATAAGGAAGAATGTGATTATCTCTTGTGAAATGAGAATAGGAGGTGTGGTACCTCGGTTGTGACTCTTGTTGTACATTCTTTGTTAAGAAGTCTTATTTATTTGTATGGTTATTATCTTACCCTCATTGCTTTACTTGTATTCTCACGATACTTATTCACTTGTTGTTCCTATCATATGTTTACCCTTTGTTGCCCTTTTATTTCCTTAGTTTTCGTTGTTAGCCTTATATCATTGTACTGCTCTATTGTTATTTATTTCTTTGCCTTCTGTTATTAGATCATAATATATTCTGTTTAGTTTTCTTCTGTCTAGTAGGTGTCTTGACCTTACCTCGTCATTACTCTACTGAGGTTAGGCTTGATACTTACTAGGTACCATTGTGGCGTACTCATGCTATGCTTCTGCACATTGTTTTGTGCAGATCCAGGTACTTCTGCTCGTGCCGGACACTAGTGATTGGACTAGCTATTCCGGAGACTTCAAGGTACACCTTCTTGATGCCCGCCTCGAAGTCACCTTCTACTAATGTTTGTATTCTACTATTTATTTTTACATCAAACAATATTGTATTTTTAGACTTCTAGTGTACTTCTTAGAGCTTATGACTCAGTTTCACCAGGTTTTGGGAATAAGTAATTGTTATTGGGTATTGATGCTATCGTGAGACTTATCAGCTTTATTTAATTTTCTTAGTCATTATTTCTGTCAAATTCTATTGTATGTTATGCTTACCTAGTCTTAGAGACTAGATGCCATTACGACTACCTCGCTCAGATGGGATTTTGGGGTCGAGACATTATCTTTCATGCATAATAATGTATATGAAATGGCACGGCATCATCCTCCGTTATTTATTGTCTTCCTCACATGATAATGTATAACAATGGCACGGCATCACTCTTCGTGTTTTACACTCTTCCTCACCAAGAAGATATATACGCATCAACAACAAGTAAGGTAGGAGGCACAGATAATATCAAGAAGTGTGGTTAAGCAAAATACACCACCCGAACGAGAATCACAACTCTTACACAATTAAACAATTCAATAGACTTCAAGAACTTCGTTGCTCAAGTGTCTCAACAAATCTCTAAAGTGATATTCAACTCAGGTATGGAACCCAAGTATCTCAAGAATAACGGTCGTAGCAATATATTCGTGATTAGGTATAGTGATGACCGAATTTGGCACATGAACAATTCACAAAAAGTCCATCAAATTTAATCAAGTTATAATAAGCTGAATCATGGTTTCTAGCATTGAATTTCATATTCATATTATTATAGAAGTTAAGTGAAACATGAGACAAGAAATCCACATAGTTCAATAAGGCACAAAGAATCATATAATCTACTCCGAGCATGGATAAAGCTGGCACATGCATATACACTCATCACCTCGCATATGCACCACCCTCACATGTAGCAAACAATATCAATTAGTAGGAAAAATTCATCCAACAAAACTAGGGAAGACACATACCTCAAACAAGCCAAATCGATATACTAGAAGCACCATCCCGCATGAATCGACCTCTGAACGGCTCAAAACTAGCCAAAAGCAATTCAAAAATATCAAATAATGCTATAGGAAATAAACCCAAATGATAAAGGTCGAATCTTTAATCAAATACTCAAATTCAACGAAAAAGTCAACATGGGCCCGCACCTCAGAACCTGACAAAACTCACAAATTTCGATAACCTATTTAAATACGAGTCCAACCATACCAATTTTGCTCAAATCTTACTCTGAATCGATGTTCAAAATTCAATTATTCACTTTAGAAAAGTTTAGACAACCCCNAAACACCGAGTCGAGAATACGTACCCCAATCCTGTGGCGAAAATTCTCTACAAAGTCACCCAAAACCGAGCTCCAAATCTCCAAATGTGCTAAAACCACTCAACCCTCAAGTTAATATGTTTTGCCCAGGCATCTCCGCAATTACAGTAAAAATGCCGCATCTGCGGCGTCACTTTTGCGACCAAAACTTTGCTTCTGCGAGAACCACTCAAACCCCAACCTATCGGCTCGCAAATGTGGAACGACCATCGCATCGGCGCACATGCCAGCTTCTACTAACATCGCATATGCGGACCCCAAGCGCATCTGCGGTCAAACTTCGCATTTGCGGACTCTGATCCCGGGCCACTACTTCCGCTTCTGCACCTCCAATACCGCTTCTGCGGCTCTGCACCTGCGCCCATAGCTTCACAGGTCCAATCACACCAGGACTCAAAATCTCAGCACTGCCAACATGATCTGTAGTGGTCCAAAATCAATTCGAAATACACCCGGGGCCCTCGGGATCCCGTCCAAACATACTAACAATTCCTAAAATACAATACGAACCTACTCGAGGCCCCAAATCACACATAATAACATCAAAATCAGGAATCACACCTCAATTTAAGCTTAATGAACTATTTCAAATTTTCAAATTCTAAACTTACGCCCGAACACCTCTAAACAACTCGGAATCACCTCAAATTTTGCACAAAGGTTTCAAGTGACACAACAAACATATTTCAACTTTCGAAATAACCATCTGAGACCGATAACTCCGAAGTCAACTTTCGGTCAAACCTATGAACTTCTTAAACCTTCAAATTGCCAACTTTTGCCAAATAGTGCCAAAATCTTTTAGAAATATTTAAATGCAAATTCGGGCATACATCCAAGGCCAAATTCATCATCCGGACCTAATAGAACCATAAAAATTCCGATCCAAGGTCAAATTCACAATAGTCAAACTCGGTCAACCGTTTCAATTTAAAGCTTCCAAATTGAGAATCATTCTTCCAAATCAATCATGAACCACTCGAAAACCAAAATTGATAATACACCACATGAAGCTATTCATGACCTCAAACCACAGAACGGAATGCAAATGTTCAAAACGACCGGTCGGGTCATTACATTACGGAGCTCAATGCTTGCACTCAATGTCAACATTTATTGAGGTTTTGGTGAAATTGCCTTGGGGGAATTTGTCACTGCAGCTGAAAGATCATGTGGCCGATCCAGACGCGTGGGAACAAGGCCAACCCTCCTCTCCATAAGGAGGCGCGTGAAACTTCGTTGATTTGTTTTAGAAAACGTTTGTTACTGTTAGAGATAGAGAGAGAAAGTTTTAGGGTTATTGTTAAAAAATATTCAATCTAAATAAAAGAGGTTCGATTTTACTAATTCGTGGACAATATACACACAAGATGCATGATCCGAACCAAGCCAAGATAAATTTAGTACATCATATGTGAACCTAACCAAGGTAAAATATTTAAAACCGTAGTGCAAATTTTTGTTGTTCTGATGAACACTAACCAAGTATTCTCCACTCCATTATTAGTCCATCACAATCCAAGTGTTCTTATAAATTAAAAGAACACTCGCTCTTATATTAATCACAAACGTTACATTATTCTGAAACCCAACGTTACTAATTAAACCTTCAACTTAACTTGCGATAGTGGGTTCCCAAAAATCATAGGCGTATTCAGAATTTCAAGAGTATGAGTGCATCATGAACACTAAAAAAAATCTGAGTTTCCAAAAGGATATCTTAGAGATGTATTTTTGGTTTAGAAATTTTAAAAGTAAAAACAAAGCCTAAAAAAAAGAAAAGAAACAAAAGAGGCGTGTTTAATTAGCAAGGGCACTGGTTTTGGCCCTATTTATTAATTGGGATCGAATCCCTTGCTAAAAGATAGAAGGTGCACTTTCTTAGTGCACTAAAATGCTCATTTGAGCTTAAATTCACCCATGCTAATTTAGGCATTTGAACTGAAATTTATTGGTACTCTGCATGATTTAGGGAGAGAAGGAACTCATCCGCCCCTGCCGCTTACACACCCTCCGATACATATTTACAACTCGGTTGATCTTACACACCCTCCAATGCATATTTACAACTCGTTTGATCTTGTTTGCTATACTCTTAAACCTGTGAATCATCTTCATCTTCTTTTTCTTGCAGAAGAGGGACTTTTTCATCAGAAGTTGACACGTTGCCTTTGATGTCTTTCTTTGTCTCGTCTTCTTTGAGTTGTCCCCATAGTGTAGTGTAATAACCAAGTCCACATATACAAGCGTTCAACATGCTGTACAAACTCATGGGCGTTAAGATCTTGTAAGTGTGTGAAAAAGTATTTGTATCTAGCTATCAAAGGTATAAAAGAATTACGATGTTAGTGAAATAATTTAAATAATCTTTTTGAAAATAACAAAATGAAAATGTTTTTCTAATTTGTCGTTTCTACTCTTCTTCTTTTTTTTGGGTCTACTTATAGCGTACGTCTTTCCGTTACCTTGTCTCTTTTCTTTTTCAACTATGTTTCACCCACGAATAGAGAAGAAAAAAACAATACTTTCTTTGCCGAGTATTCTTTTTATATTTGAAAATATTTATACCATAAATTAAACTATACATTTACCTTTGATGACATGATTTTGTACTCACGCAAATATCATGGCACATTCAAAATGTCATAAGATTTATAATTTTGTTTTCTTTTCAAAGGAGTATAAAAAGAAAGAAGAAAACTTGCCTTCCATAGTGGAAAGTAGCAGCAAAGAGCACACAACCACATGTGCTGGCAACTGGAACTCCCACAGGCTTAAAAAATAGTGTATAAGAAGGCCCTTTCAAGCGCATGCACCACATCTGGACACTGCTACGTATTAAACTTCCAAAAATTGCCTGTTACGTATGAAAGCATCACGTTTACATTAGGTAATGACTAAAGAATATATAGTACGTACATCTTAATTAAAAGTCTGATTGCTTTTGTGAGCTTACAGTTAAAACAATGACAAGAAGTTCAAAGTTGAGCTTAAGCCTCCACGCACTGAGATCTTTTTCCATAAATAAAGCAAATACTGCAGATTGAATCGTCCCAAACAAGGTGTAAAGACACGTTATTTTCATCACATGTGGGTGCTTCTTGCTACTTCCCGCCTGAAAAAAAACACACACACATTTTCGTTCAATGTAAACGTTCTGTTTGAGAGAGGAAACAAAGGGGGAAAAAAAGATTTAAGTTATATACACTGCTACGTGTAGTTTTATATTATATCAAGTTAGTTACTATTACCATTTTACTAGGTTATTAGCTGATGTTTGTTATAGAGCATCGTGTGTAATTACCTTATAAATGATATGATGACTATGTAAATATTCGTTATACCATTTGTTAATAGAACTTAAACCCGAAAAGAAAAAGAACAGAAAAGAATAATAAAGGAAACCTGAATAATGTTCCATATGGTAAGAGCAAATGAAGCAGCTGCAAACAAGAAACAACCAAGAACCCAATTCTCATGTGTTGAAGTGAAGACGAGGAGCTGCGGTCTTGCCAGCTGAAGGAAAGATGGGGAATACTTGTTGACCACTGGACCTTTGTAGAAAGTCATTGATAATATCCCCACTATTGATATTAAGGTGCCAACTACTCTTACTTGACTTCCCTGCCTCTTCCAGTCCATTCTTATTTTCCTAAACAAAGTTATATGCTTCTTTAGAATACTGATAATCATAATTAGTTCCTGGGTAGTCTTAAAGATAAGACCGACGTAGAGATTTTAAAGTTTTCTTCACTCAGACCATTCCCAGAATGGTTGGAAAATCTACTTCTTTTTATTGGAAGAACTGTTTAAAAATAACAGTAGCATGTAGTAGTAGGTCCATTCACTTCATCAGTTCTGCACCTACCTATTACATCAGTTTCTTGCTATTTTTCAAATCTAGTTAATACCATTCACTTCCAAAGTATGGCCCATCAATTTGATACCCAAAAAACGGACTCAGATACACACACGTACAATAATATTGAATCTTACATCATTCAAAAATTTCTCACAATTTTCTTCGTATGGACATAAAAGATTAAGGTGTTAGAAATAACACAGTTTTATTTATTTACTTCTTCGATAATAGGCGGCGATTAGACTCGAACTAAGGGCCTGTGTCTACTCTTTCTAAAAAATTTTGCCATTATTTATTACAACCTCTGTAATAGTACTCCTGGTATCTTTTCTCCCTTCTATTTTTAAGGAGCAACTAAACTAGAAAAAGAAAAGAAAAAGTTAGTAGGCGTAAGTCTGTTTACAATCAAGAGGCCATAAGATAATGAAAAGGAGAAAAGAACCTGAGAATAATGGAAACAATGAAAGAAAAAGCTGGTATCATGTTCGCAGCTCCACATGCTACTATTGGAGAACTATAACTTAGTCCCGCGAATGCAAGGTTCTGCGCTATTGTTACCCTGCAACCACAGATTAAATTCATATGATTATTCTTCTCTTAACTTTTACCACTCCAATCAAGATCAATATATAGCATGCAAAATTAAGTGAAACTACCAATTCATATGAAAATAATTGGTGTCTTACGAAGTTAAGAAAATGTAAAGTCCAATATGCATGAATACAGAAAATAATCTTGGACCAATATTTAAGTTCATCTTTAGACCATCTATATAAACTTGTTATTTTTGTTTAATCTTTTGACAGAGAGAAAGAGTCAGAGAGTACTAACCCTACTAAACCAAGGAAGAAGACACGCAAAAGAAGGGGAAACGTGAATAATGGCTCTTCTGTCCTGCAATTATTGAGAAAGAAAGAAAGATGAACACACACTGGTCCTCTAAGTCGGTCACCCTTTATCTTAAAGAAAAAGAAAAAAAATGATTTCATGGAAATATATACTTGTCTCTTCTGTGGAAAAAGAGGGAATACGGAAGGAGAAGGATAAAGCTAAGAGCATTCGTATACACCACGAATATAAAAGAACTCATCCCAAACTTGGACATAGCGGTACTGGCCATAATCGTCAAGAAAATAGTGGCAGCTTCTATTATGACCATTGCTGTGCATGGCAACATTTCTCCTATGGCATTCGCAACCCTCACACCCATCTCTCTCTTTTTCTTTGTTTTTGTGTATTTATGTCAACTACTTGTTATAACTCCGTATGATCCGGTCTTCACAATTTATATGGAGGCACATCAATTCAATTTGCTGTATACGTCAGGAAAAAAAAAAGAGAAGGTAACCTTTCATGGAATGCTTAAGCTACTTGCAAAGAGAGAGAGCATCTCGAGTGACCCAAGCATGGCACGGAAGGGGGAGATTCAATAATTGTTTAATGCTATTAATACTTTTTTAATTGAGGAAAACTTCTCTTCCACCTGTACACCTACTATTTGTCCTACGTGGACTCCGAGAGTACGTATTAACCCAGAATTAGATTTTGTCTAAATTATCTTATGTAGTTTGTATAATTAATAACCCCCCATAAGGTTTGTTTTCGTGGCTGACATTAACACAGGACCTACCAGGAAATTATTTCTTAACTCCGATCCAGCGGGTCAGTTGCGGTTACGTTAAACTCCTCACATGCGTTTAACTACTAGTCCCTATATATTTGCATGATATACATCCTTTTTAAATATTTAATAACAATTAAATTTTAAATTTTATATTTATAAGATAATTTATAGCCACAAATTATGCGGTGTGTCTTAAATACTCCCTCTGTTTCAATTTATATGAATCTATTTCATTTTTAGTCCGTGCCAAAAAGAATGACTTCTTTCCTTATTTGAAAACAATTTACCTTTATGCAACGATTTATAACCACACAAAATATATATGTCTCATTTTACACCACAAGTTCAAAAGTCTTCTCCCTTTCTGAAATTTCGTGCCCAATCAAATGAGTTCATATAAATTGAAACGGAGGGAGTAGCAAGTTTCAGAATTTTTTTTCTTTCATAACTTTCAGATCCAGCCAAATAATAACAAGTAAAATAAGATGGGGTAAGTAAACATTAAAATTGTAAAAGAACTTTTTAATTGGATCAGTTAAAATGTAATTATAGGTAATTATAATAAGAGAAGTTATAACCTGAAAAATAAAACATACAATTTGTTGAATTAATTACATTATTCTTACCGTGCAAAATATATTTTTATATCGTGAATGTATTAAAGTTAAATCCGGTCTTCATATTACACATAGGTTAATGTAGCCATAAGAAAGGATCTCATTGGTATTTAATAGGCCGTTATTGCAGAGTACAATAGTAACGGACGGTGTAGTCATTGGATAAAGAATTCAGCAATTCCAATTCATTTGTCTTGAACTTGGAAGGGAAGTACGTAAGCAGAAGAATGGGAAGTCCAGCAATGCAATTTCTTCTTTAAATAAGTAAAACGTCATGAGCGGCGACCACGTTTTTGTATGCATATGTGGGCGCCTTGTCAGCTTTGGACGGACTACTCGTGTCAGATTGTCAAGAGGTGGGCACTCCAGCTCTGCAATTTTTTTTTTTTTTTTTTTTGTTTCCTACCCGATATCCGGTACTGGCATTGGAACCCGACTATATCCGGATTCGCTCCGTGTAGGGCCCTATTAGGGGGGAACCGTTCCCTACCAACGATTTTTCTATACTCAGGGCTCGAACTCGTAACCTCTGATTAAGGGAAGAGCAGTCTCATCCACTGCACCACATCATTTGGTGGTCAGCTCTGCAATTTCTTCTTCATAAATTAGCATCCTATCTAGGGTTTTATGACGTAAATCATCAACTACTATTCTTTTTTAGTTTTAGGCAAAATACATAAGTTATCCCCTGAACTATGACTCAAATCCCTGTTACATACTTTCTGGGAACGAATATTACTTTACACACACAACATTTCCGAAGTGTATCTAAGACACGCTACTTTGCCCACGTGGACAGTGCGTCTTTTTCCCATCGAATGAGTCGCGTGAACAGAATAATTTTGTATCAGATGTCAATTTTTTTTTGTTTTTAAATATTTTAAATTGAGTCATCTTCTTCCTTTTTTAAAATTCTGCCATGGCTACTCCTTGAGCTCCACCACCCGATCTCCTTCTTCTCAAATAGACATACCACGATTTCTCATATCTCTTCTCGTTGATTAGTTTTTAGTTTTTTTTTCCAGATCTTTTGTCGAGAAATTTAGATTAGATTCAGCTGTTAAAGCTTTTTGTAGTTCTGCCAAAAGCTTACCTCAACCTTTTGGATAGAAGATCTTTTCTTTTTTGCAGAGAAGCTTAACTTGAGCTTTATCCATGGCGAAGTCGAATTTTTCGGAAGCAAGAATTTTTCGAAATTTTTTCCAACTATTAAAGCTTGATTCAATTTCAGCGGAAAAGATGGAGTTTTGGGTGTGTTTTCTGGTGATTTTTGTTAGTTAATGGTGTCTTTGTTATTAAGTAAAAGGTGGAGGAAGAGGCTATGGTGTTTGATGGTGAAAAGAGGAGGAAGACAGCCATGGTAGTTTAGATGGGGAAGATGATAGGTATAACTATAATTTTAATTATTTTATTTTTTAAATGACACGTGTTACTGTTTGATTGGTGCGTGATATTACACATATTCTGAAAAACTGGTTAAGAAAAAAGTAGTGTGTCTTAGATGCACTTTGGAAAGGTTGAGTGTGTAAAGTAATATTCGTTCCCAGAAAGTGTGTAACATAGATTTGGGCCATAGTTCAGGTGGCAACTTATGTATTTTGCCTTAGTTTTACTATTTTTGGGACAAAGGCATACACTTTTTAAAATTCCTTCCTTTTTGCGCGGATGGATATAGGCTTGGGTATCAAGCTGGACAACCCGGTTCGACTCGGTTCGGCCCGGTACGCTAGGGGATGGGACGGGTTGGGGAGAGGGACCGGACGGGAACGAACATATTTTGGTAACCGGTGCCCCGGAACCCGGTTAGCCCGGTTACCCACTACCGGGCTACAACCCGGTCCAGTCCGGTTACCGTTGGAATATTTTTTTAAAAACTTTTTTGACCGTTGCCAACGGTCAAATTCAAAATGACCGTTGGGCAACGGCCATTTTTTGAAAATTTGGCCACTTCGGCCTACCCCCTTAAGAAAATAGCCCCCTCCCCCTCCTAATAATTGATAAATTATAATTTTAACCTTTTAAAAACTATAAATAGCCCCCCTTCTTCTTCATTTTCTCTCATAATTTACTCTCTTACTACTTTAATTTTCTCTCAATTCTCTCTTGATAATATTGCTTATTGCTCTTAAATTCTCAATTACTTATTATTTCAAGTTTCATCAAATATTTACTTTAGTCACTACAAAATTATAATTATCAAATATCAAGTATTCAAGTGAAGTGTGGTATTAATATTCAATATCATCAAATATCAACTAAAGTGTGATATCAAATTTAGTACGGCATCCGGAATCCCAGTACACTTGTTCCATCTCTTTCTCTTCTTTGGTGTATATGTTTATTTTATTATTTAGAATTATTAATTTAATTTCTTATTTTAATTTACATAATGGATATATTTAGAGCAGCCAAAAAATCGTGTACTGGTAGGGGTGGTAGTAGTAAGAGTAAAGCTCAAAGATCAAGTGGTGGTGCTGGTTCTTCTAGTAGCTTTACACATATTTTTGAAAGTTCACCTGAAAATTTAAATGTAGATTATGAGCAACTTCAAGAAAATTATGGTATAGATGATTTTAGATGATAATTTAGATGATATTCAATCACCCGATAATCTTGAAACACCACCAGCTACACCCGATAATGCTAGTCAAACATAAAATACTAGGGGTGGAGATTGTGGTAATACGGGTAGGCCTCCCCTCCCTATTAATAGGAATCGAAGAATAAATATATTCGTTATTTGTTGGCCAGTCTTTCTTGTAGAGTTTCTCTTGTACATTATGGACTAAAACCAAGACTCATGCCTGAAGAAATAGTTACTAGGTGGAATTATACTTATTTATTCTTAAGATGTTGTCATAAATATAAAATGCCTATAACTGAAGTTGTTAATTCTCATTGTACCGATCATAACCGTTTGTTAACATCTAGAACTTGGGATGGCATTGAAGATGTTGTAAAATTTTTATAAAAATTTTATGTGGCTACACTTGAGTTTTCTGGAGCTTATTATCCTACTATTGCTAATGGTTTAGTTCATATTGCTAAATGTTTTCTTTTACTCCATAATTTGAACAAGAAAGAAGGATATACTCATGTTGTTGAATCTATGCTAGATAAATTTAAGAAATATTTCTACCCAATTTCCCATATTTACCTAACTTGTGCTATTTTAAACCCTTCTATCAAAATGGCCATTTGTCGCCAATTAATCACTGCTTTATATGTTTATATGGATATTGGACCAACTGAAACCCCTGATACTGAAACTTGTATTTATGATCTACACAAACATTTACAAAATTTATATAATTACTATGCTAACATTGTTGATGCTTCTGCTGCTGTAAATGCAAATATTCCTTCAAGTTCAGTTTCAACATCTGCATCCGGTGCTTTGGAGGATAATAATGGTGTTGAAAATTATTTGATTTGGTCTATACTAGGAGAGCATTAACAAACCAGTAGCGGGAATACTGATGAACTCCAATTCTACTTGCAAAGGTCACCAGAGCTCCGAACAAAGGAATTTCTACTACTGGGTTGGTGGAGGAGCAACTCCGCTCAATTTTCTGTTCTTTCGGCCATGGCTCGAGACGTACTAAATGTGCCGATTTCAACAGTCGCATCAGAAAGCGCATTTAGCCAAGCAAGGAAGCAACTAGGAGATACCCATCTTTCATTGGGCAGCAACACTTTGAAAATTCTAGTGTGTTTCAGAGATTGGATAAGATCAGAACGGCGAAATCAAGGGCGTGAAGAGATTGATGAAACAGAGGACCAAGAAATTGGAGATATAATGGTTTATGGTTCCGATTCAAGCAATACCGGAAATCAAGAACCTTAAGTTGACATGGATGAACTTACAAAAATGATGCAAAGCATGTGATATACTCTTTCTTATTGTTTATAGTTGTTGTAAACTTTTAATTTGCAAGTTCAAAAAAAAAATATAAAAAAAACAAAATAGAACTTGCAAATTAATTTGAAGTATTATTTATTATTCAATGAAAATAT